AGCGCTCTACCACTTGAGCCATAGCGCCACTTCCGGCTTTTTTATTTTTGCTTATGTGGTGCTGGGAAATTGAACCCAGGGCCTCAGGCATGCAAGGCAAGTGTTCTACCACTGAGCCACCTTCCCAGCCCCCATTTGTTTTTTATTAATAAGTTTTATTGTGAAAATACTGTACAGAGGAGTTACAATTACATGAGCAAGGTAATGAGTACATTTCTTATCAAGCGGTATTGCCCTTCCTTTGTTTCCCCTTACCATCCCTGCCCTCCCATTTCTCCCCAGCCTCCACCCAGAAACCTTGCATTCTTAAACATACATCTTTTAATGTTTCTAGATGATACACACTTTTTCTCGGTGTGTACTGTGCTGTGCTGAAGAAGTGGATCTTGATGAGCTTCTTGCTGCAAGATTAGTTTCTTTCTTAATGGATCATCATCAAGAAATTCTCCAAGTACCCTCTTACTTACAGACTGCAGTGGAGAAACATCTTGACTACTTAAAGAAGGGCTATGTAGGTATTTTGGGTCTCAAAAGTGTCTTCACTGGCCAGGCACTGGTGGCTCACTCCTATAATCCTAGCTATTCAGGAAGCTGAGATCTGAGAATCACAGTTTGAAGCCAGCCCATACTGGAAAGTCTGTGACAACTCTGTCTCCAATTAACCACCAGAAAACCAGAAGTGAAGCTCTGGCTCAAAGTGGTAGAACACTGGTCTTGAGGGGAAAAAAAAAGCTCAGGGACTGTGTCCAGGCCCTGAGTTCAAACCCCACAACTATCAAAAAGTCTCTCCACTAGTTATTAGCAAGTGGCAAACTTAGCTCATACTAGCTCTATCTAAAATGGAGTCCGAACTCATCAACAAATCTATAAAATTTAGGAATATAGACAGAACTGAGGACACAAATAACACTGGGACTCTTCCTGTTGTCCATGTCTTATTTCTTTTCTTTTTTCAGATGTGGGGTTTGAACTCAGGTCCTGGGTGCTATCCCTGAGCCTCTTTATGCTTAAAGCTAGCACCACTCTACCACTTGAGCCACAGTGCCACTTCTAGTTTTTGAGTGGTTAATTGGAGATAAGAGTCTCACAGGACTTTTCTGCCCTAGCTGGCTTTGAACCACAATCCTCAGATCTCAACTTCCTAAGTAGCTAGGATTACAGGTGTGAAACACTGGCACCCAGCCCGTGTCTTATTTCTATTTCATCCTGTATTTGACAGGTGACTCCTTTATATGATAGGGAATATCGTTGATTAAAGTTCATGAGTCACAGACTTCACTTTGAGACCTAGAAAAAAAAAGCCATCCCTGTACCTCCAATCTGAAGAGGTGTGGGTATAGATCCTTGATTGGCCCCGTCTCCACTAAATGTGTATCCTTTGGGTGTTTGAGGATCAGTGGGATGGAAAGAGAGCCATATTCTGATTGGCCCTATACCTCTTAGAGCCAAATTTGTTCTTTAAGAAACATTAGGGAGGAAAGGGTAGAATGGGAAGGAACCATTACCAAAGGGAGATAAAGGAATACCGAGCAGCCCAAAATAATAAACATGTACTTTATTCATGCATTGGTTGACCAGCACATTGCTTTACTGTTCTAGCTTACACATAATTTAAATTATCCCCTACAATTTCTTCCTCATCTCAGCAGATATGTAGACTCTGCCCTGCCCAGGCCCTAGCTCTCAACACTAAATGAATATTATTAAGTTCAGAATGTTAAGATGAAATAAAATATCACTTAAGATTATTGCTGTCTTATAGTTTAAATAAAATCTATGGTGCTAAGTACTTTATATACATGTTCCTATGGAGCCTTTATTTTAATGATGGAATAATCCAAGACATGTAAATAACTTGCTGAAGGCTAAAGTTGTGGAGCTGGGACTTAACTCTTACCCTATTGCATCATCTGTAGTCGAGTTTGGTAGTAGACCCATAGTTACTAGATCTCAGCATAAGGATACTGAATAAGAACACATGCAGAATTAGCAGATCATCACTGTCTCGTTTTCTTCACTACAGGTTAAAAGTCCTGGAGAGGAACTGGTTGCACCTTTGCCAACTTATTCTTACTGTACGCAGATTAGTACACAGGAGTTTGATGAACAGAAGGTTTCTACCTCTCAAGCTGCAATTGCAGAACTTTTAGAGACTATTATTAAAAACAAGAGTTTACCGGTAAAGGAGAAAAAAAGAAAACTGAAACAGGTAAGAGAATGAGCAATGTCTCATTCATGTAAATATGTTCCATTATGCTATTCATGCTTGTTACTTAGTGACAATTAAAATCCAATTTCTTATTTTAATACTGCAGATTTAAAGTTTGAACATAAAGGCTATATATCATGCTTCATATGTACACATTAAACTACTGCTAAAACACCTGAACATCCATTTGATTTCACTCTGTATCCCAAATTTGAAAACAATAATGACATAAATAACGGATACTGTGCTGTATTGCTGGTGTTTTGTTTAATTATACCTTTGATTAGCCTGGAAAAGCAATTAGAAAATTTGCTTTATAATATATTTTGAGTAACTCATCATTACCATTTAGAATCTTTAGCTCTAAATCCAAACCCAGTAGCTGCATGACTCTCTCAAGAACATTAATGCTGTAGGCACTAAGAAATGTCTGTGCCAATTCTGTGCCTTCTTGGGCTTAACCAGTGAGAAACAAATGGTAGAATTTTTTTTTTGGGGGGGGGGGTCTGGTCATGGGGCCTGAACTCTGGGCCTGGGCGCTATCCCTCAGCTCTTCAGCTCAAGGCTAGTGCTCTACCACTTGAGCCACAGCGCCACTTCCGGCTTTTTTCTTTTTGCTTATGTGGTGCTGAGGAATCGAACCCAGGGCCTCGAGTATGCAAGGTAAGCGCTCTACCACTGAGCCACCTTCCCAGCCCCCAAATGGTAGAATTTTTAAAGGAGAGTTAGCAAAGAAGGCAAGGCAGGGATAAAATGAAAGGATACTTGAGTACCTTCAGCTAGTAAAGAGATGTTCACTGCCATCTAATTCTTCATTTCATTTTTAAGTTTCAGAAGGAATATCCCTTGATATATCAGAAAAGGTTTCCAACCACAGAGAGTGAAGCAGCACTTTTTGGTGACAAACCTACAATCAAGCAACCAATGCTGAGTTTAAGGAAACCAAAGTTGCGTAGTCTGAGATATTAAGAGGATGAAAAGAATTATCTCATGCTGGTGAAATGCTGAGAAATGAAGCCATATCTGAGAATCTAGCTAGTTCAGGAAGTCTGTTACTAATAAGGTTTCTTTAATAAACATGTACAGAAGTGCCAAAATAGTTTTATTACTCAACATGAGACTTCAGAGCAGCTACTGGATCTCAGCTGAGAGGACATAACAATAAATAATGATACTTTAGACAGAAACAATCTTTTTTAAATACAATTATGCAGAAGTTACTGTGATTGTACTAAGTTTTTATTTATTTGAATTTTGAAAATTAAGCATGGTCAAGATTAAGCTGTAATCCTGTTTTTAAAACAAAATTTATCTGCACATGTGATTATGGATATTAGCTAAAGAACTAGTTTCTTGTTTCTAAATGTAAGAATATGAAAAATATTTGAAAGTTCATTGAATTCTCAGCTGCTAAATATTGCACTCCTTTAATTTTTTTTTAGTTTTGATCTATTTATATATTTGGGGGGGGCTGGGTTTTGTTGTTTTTGTTTGGGGGGTTTCTTATTTAGGGGTGTTTTGTTTTTGAGATAGGATATCACTAGCTGGCCTCAAACCCAAGTTCCTCTTGCCTCAGCCTCCTGAATGCTGAGATAATAGGCATGTACCACACCTGGCTTTTATATTTAAAACGTGAGTTTTTAAAGCATGCTTCTATAGCTATTTCAGTCACTTATTTTATCCATAAATACCTTTGAATTCTTTGATTAATGCTGTAGGACAAGATGGACATAACAAAGAAATGTAAGGCAATCAATCAGGTATTCATTCAAAAGACACTATTTAGCAACTGCCCTGTGCCTTGCCCTGTGCCTTTTATGTGAAGACTAATGAATAAAAAAAACAGAAAACATCCTTTCTAACCAAGGGAGGTAACATCTCCATTGGTTAAAATAACAAGATACCCAAATCAAAGTGGGAAATCTTTCAGCTGAAAACTGACCTGATTATGGAAAAGTTCTCTAGTGCTTTAGCAGCTGTTGCCATCAGTATCGTCTGAGACATTTTAAAACAGTCTCTATACCCAGGGCATACCTTCTAGCAATTCTGTATTATAAGCATGGTATACAGAAATTGGTTTGCGAGTTTTGGGGTTTGAGGGGATTTTGGGGGGGACTGTGTCTCATGTAGCTAAAGCTGTCCCCAAACTTTGAATCCTTATGTCTCAGCCTCCTAAATTCTGGGATTACATTCAGCAGGCATTGGTATTTTTTAAACTTTCTTGGTCCTAAATTCTGGGATTACATTCAGCAGGCATTGGTGTTTTTTAAACTTTCTTGGTCACTCCAATATTTATCTAACATTTCTCAGTGTTAGCACTGGCACAGAATATTAGTCAGCGGAGCATCAACTTCATTTTGTATTGGAAGACAATGCCAAGAATAAATAAATGCCTCTTGATATGAGGTTATTCAGATTTCTGATTGATTGACTTGGTATAAAGTTGAAACATTTTTTTCCTCCAAAATCATGTAAAATCTATTGCTTAAATGCAAAAGAATGTACAATACATGTAATAAACTCTTAATGTTTAATAACTTGAATTCTCAGTTAAAATTTATACTATTCATATACAAAATGTCAATGTTCCATTTTCAGTTACTATTTTCTTATTAAAAATTTTGACAGACATGATAAATGTATCTTTTGCCCAGAAAACATGTAAAACATTGAGCCAAATTGGAATTCGAATTCTAAGGTGCTTGTATGCTAAAACTTTTCTTGTTGAAAGGTATATGATAATGTGAATTATGTTTCAAATTAAGATACAAATATTGTGAGTTTTGTAATACTTTAATTTTGCCTATATATTTATTGACATTGCACAAATAAATATTAAAAACAGTAAACTTTGTATTAGTGTATGTTGAAATTATGAAATATATGGTACTTGACATCAGGTTGGTAAGAATTATTAAGCTATTATAATGACGAAGAGGTTCTGATTATCTACACTGTTTGGCAGGTATTTTTTTTGTCAGTCGTGGAGCTTGAACTCAGGGACTGGGTGCTGTCCCTCCTTGAACTTTCTTGCTCAAGACTAGTGCTCTACTACTTTGAGCCACAGTGCCATTTCCAATTTTCTGGTGGTTAATTGGAGATAAGAGTCTCATGGATTTTCCTACCCTGACGCTTTGAACCACAATCCTCAGCTTTCTGAGTAGCTAACATTATATGCATGAACAACCAGGGCCCAACAGAGCAGGAAATTTGAGAAAAAAAAACAATAAAGCAATGTTCTTGATTCTAGAGTCTTTGAAATCCTGTGGGATCCAGCACATAGCTTACACGTTAGCCAAGGCTAGACATTAGCAGATTCTGTTCTAGCAGAAAGGTCAAAATCTTCTCAGATGGGTTGACCTGTAGAGTTGATCTTAGAAATACATGGAAATTCTCATTGCTTTTGCTTCCTCAAGAAATGACAAAGTCAACTTCTGGGATTAGAAGGAAGATGAGTACAATGTTGAATAAATAATATATGAAATATAGTCTTATATATGGTAATACAGAGGTGCCAACAGGTCAGATGATGTCTAAGTACTTTATTACTTGTAATTTTGATCACAGAATCATTGTCACCACCCTCCACAGGATGAACCACTCTCCTCATATTGCCCAGAGTTATGTAGCATTTAGTAATAGAAAGTAAGGGAATTTCCCAATGATAGCCATTTGTGTGTGTGTGTGTGTGTTTTGGGAAAACAAACTTGAGTTTCCTCATTTGTAAAATGTGCAGGATATCTACGTAACCAAGTTGTGTTAATTTATAAACAACAATGGAGCCAGACACTAGTGGCTCACACCTTTAATCCTAGTTAATCAGATGGTTGAGATCTGAGGATCATCATTTGACCCTGCTCAGGCAGGAATGTGGGTGACATTTCTATCTCCAATTAATTACAGAAAAATCCAGAAATGGAGCTGTGGCTCAAGTGGTGGAGTGCTAACCTTGAGTAAAAAAGCTCAGGAACAGCACTCAGGCTCTGAGTTGATGCCACACAACCAATACCAAAAGAATAAACTATACTGGTATATTATGCTTTTCTACAATAGCAATGGTAATGTGTAATGAAATAGAGTTCTGGAATATTCTGTCATAGTAATCAGTACAAATCAATAGATATACCCACTTGGATTTGATGGTAACTATGTGTATGTTACTGTTGAAGATTACTTGGAAAACAAAGAATAGCTATTTTTTTCATATTAAGCTAAGTTGAAAAAAGGAGCTCGCTAAAATGAACACTTCTACATACACTAAAGTAGAATAACTAAGAATATTATTAACTCAGACAAAAATAAAATAAAGCAATTCTGAGGAAGGAAGAAAGTTGGAGGTATCACTGTACTGGGCTTCAAAACTATAGTAAAACAGCCTGGAACTGGCACAAAAACATATAGATCAGTGGATATGACCATTAAAAGTAATGCATATACTTACATCTCACAGTGTTCCCTGGGCCGGTCTCAAACTCATGAGCTCAAGTGATCTTCCCACCTCAGCATCCTAAGTAGCTGAGACAGCTGTGTACCACCTTTCCCAGCTCCCCGGAGTGACTTGCCAATTGCAAAGGTATTGGAGAAAGAACAATCTTTTCTATAAATGATGTAGAGAAAACTGCATCAGCAGAAAAAGAAACTATCCTTACTTCTCACCATATACAAAAACCAAAATTAAGTGTTAAGACAGAAAACTAGGAAACTCAGAAAAATACCTTAATACTGAGATAAGCAACAATTTTGGAATAAGATCCAGAAAGAACAGACAGAAACAAAGGAACACTAGACAAGTAAGATTATATGAAACTAAGAAGCTTATACATAGCAAAAGAAATAACTTGTAAAGGAACTCACAGAATGGGGAAGATATTTGCAGACTTCGTTCTACAGAGGGCTAATATCCAGACTATATGAAGAACTTAAATCATTCAAAGTAAAAAACAAAAATGGGCTGATAACATTCAGACACTTCTCAACAGAAGATAAATGGCCACCAAATACAGGGACAACATGCTGAATATGGGCTGGGAAGGTGGCTCAGTGGTAGAGCGCTTGCCTTGCATGCATGAAGCCCTGGGTTTGATTCCTCAGCACCACATAAGCAAAAAAAAAAAAAAAAAAGCCGGAAGTGGTGCTATGGCTCAAGTGGTAGTGCGCTAGCCTTGAGCTGAAGAGCTGAGGGACGGTGCCCAGGCCCCACGACCGGACCCCCCCCCCCAAAAAAAAAGCTAAACATCACATAGCAGGGAAATGCAAGGCAAAAATCACAATGAGATACCATCTCACCATAGTTGTGGCTACTATCAAAAATACAAAAAGCCAGGTGCCAGTGGCTCATACCTGTAAGCCTATCTACTCAGGAGGCTGAGATCTAAGAAATCTGCACTTGAAGCCAGCCTAGGCAAGAAAGTCCATGAGACTCTTACCTCTAACAAATCACAGAAAAGGCAGGCTGTGGTACTGTGGCTCAAGTAGTAAAAGCGCTAGCCTCTTGCAAAAGAAGTTCAAGGACAGCCCAGGCCCTGAATTCAGGCCTCAGGACTGACAAAAAGACAAAAATAAATGCTGCCCAAAATTCAGAATAAAGTTAAGCTCCTAAAAACACTGGTGAAGGAGAGGAAAGTAGGTTAATGCAGCAATTAAGGAAAACAGAATGGAAGTTCCTCTAAAACTAAAAATAGAACTGCCATATGTTCCAGCTATTCCCAAACTGAGTAAGTATCCAAAGGGAATAAAATCATGTCAAAGAGGCACCTGTGCACACCCATACTTATTGCAGCACTATTCATAGTAGGCAAGATATGGAGTCAGCCAAGATGTTCATCAATGGAATATGGATTTTAAAATGTTGTAGGTGCACACAATGGAATATTAAGAAAAAAAAGATGGAAGTCTATCATTTGCAGCAACATGTATAGAACTTGAAAACATCATGTCAAATGAAACAAACAAAATGCAGAAGACAAATACATGGTCTTGCTCCTCTGCAATACTAAAAAAAAAAAAAAATGTCAAATGAAGTAGAGAATAGAACAAAGGGAATTAGAGGCCAGAAAGGATAGCTTAAAGAGGGAAGGCTGAGAGACTGACTAATAGGTACCAAAATACACAGGGCAACTAGTGGGCAGCAATCACACCTTTCACCAAAGAGTTTCAAGTTCCCTATCACTAGAAATGATAATATTTGGCCCCTATTTAATCATTACATGTTGATTATACTGTTTATAATACCATATCACATAAGTATAAATACTATATGTTAACTAAAGATACATTAAAACCATATGCATTCCAGAAAATAACTGAGTAATAATGTTTTAAATTTAGCCCCTGGGACAGTGGTTGATGTCAGCTTCCAAGCACCTTAATGCCAGCTGTCCTAGGCCATGTTTCTCACAACACTCAGACACATGTA